TTGGCAACCAAAACCCTTGAAGGAAGAATAGTCTGTAACATGATGAAATAAGACTTCATAAGGAGAAATGTGATGAAGAGTGGAGCTAAGCATTCTATTTATGAGAAAGACTAAAGTGACAATAGCATCAAACCACAAGGAAAGAGGGAGATTAGACTGATGAATGAGAGTAATAGCAGTTTTTGAAATGTGTCTGTACTTTCTCTCAGCAACACCATTTTGGGCTTGTGTATATGGGCAACTAATTTCATGAACAATGCCATGAGATGTAAGAAAAGAATCTAACTCCTTATTCACAAACTCAGAACCACCACCAGTTTGAAAAATTTGGAGAGAAGTTTGAAACTGAGTCTCAACAACAACTTTAAATTCCAAGAATTTAGAAAACACCTCACTTTTGTAAATGGATATGCCCAGGTAAATCTACTAAAAAATCATCCACAAATAGCACATAATATTGGAAAGCATTAGAAGCAGCATGAAAGGGGCCTCACACATCCCCATGAATTAGAGAAAGAGGTGCATTTACAGAGGTATTTGACAATTTGAATGACAACCTGTGTATTTTAGCAACAACACAAGGTGTACAATGTGGAACTTTATTACAAGAATCAGTAGAACAAAGAAATTGATCATGCTGAAACTTGGGAAGATATCTAGTAAGATGCTGAAACTTTAAAGGAGATGAATGCCCCAACCGTTGATGCCATGTGAGTGCAGTGACAGATGGAGAAATAGGAGTGTGAAAAGCATGAGGTGAATATATGGAATAAGAATTTCATCAGATACCTACGCTCTTAACCTTCGTTTCTGTAATTATGGTTTTGCTGGTTCATTAATTATGTTATCTTTTTGTCTGTTCGTTAATTATGATAAACAATTAGTTATATTTCATTTCATATATTTTTATGCTTAATTATGATAAGAAGCTTTCTACCATAATTAACATAGTCAAGTACATTATGCTGATTTAAAATTTATATATATATATATATATATAAGTTAACTACGTGAACTTTGAAATTCTAGAAAGGGAAGTTCACATTCAGTCCAAATTTTTCATTTTAGTTTGGACTCCACAATTTCAAAAACTTAACAGTTATATAGAATTAATCAATTATTATGTAATTGAAATTCACATCCAATATTACACTTTATTTTCTTAATAGATTGTAAAATAGATAATGTTGAAAAAAATAAAGGCCAAATGTGGAATTTCACATAAATTTGAAAAAAAACAAAACAAAAAACTTGCAAGCTGGAATTAAATGGCAATTGAGTTCTTCAGAACAATAAAATTACATATATACATATTTTGTTGATGCGGCCTACTTGAAATCTTTCAATCTATAAAAAAATATGCATTTGATAGCATTTAATTATAAAAATATTAATTTTTGTTGAGTATACCTCCTTATTGAAGTGTGAGACCCAATTAATTTGTTAAAAAATTTTAATTTGACTTAATTTAGGTATAATATATTTTTATATATTATATTTGTACAATTAGGACTTGATTACAAAACCCTAAATTAACAATATATATATATTGTTTATTTCTTCAAAGAGAGGTATGTACGGCTTTCACAAAATTATGTTCAAACTTTTCCGAAGTGGTGCCGCTGCTGTAACATCTTTTTTGGGGGCTTGTGCAAATTAATTCATCTTTGGTAAATTTTGGTTTGGAGTGACAGCGCTTGAATACAACTCGGTGGTGTATTTCGGCAGTTTTGGTGGAGTTGCTTTGGGTTAATTATTTTGGGTCTTCTTCAACTCTGGTTTTAAAGATTTTAGTTCATTTATTTGGTGAGGTATTTCCTCTTGTTTATTTGTGATTATTTGGAATTCACCTAAGGATGGTTTTGTGAGACCATTAGTGTCTCGTTTGTAATCGTTTGGAAACTTATTTGGTTGATAGTGGAATCGGATTTCGATCCCGTGGACGTACCTCACATTGAGGGAACCACGTAAAAATTCTTGTGTTGCCTTTGATTTAATTTTTCCGCATTAGTTTTTATTCCCATGGGAGTAAAAACGTGAGGCTTTTTTTCTACTGAGGAAGTCTCCTGAATTGGTTAACCAGTTGAAAAGGTTCTAGGTTATGCTTCTTAAATTATTCAATGGCCTGGATTAGTTTGTAAAGATCTAACGGTCATCAAGTAAGGTGCCCATCATGTGCACCCTTTGAAGGGTGCACATGCTAATAGGACCCAAAAAAATTAGTATGTTTGAGATGACTTTTTACAAAAAGATGTGCAAAAAGTAGAGAGAAAATGGAATCTTTGACTTTTTAGTATGGGTTGTTGGGTTTTTTATTTTTTTAGTAATTTTTTGACTTTTTGGCTAAAATGAACACTTGACAAACAAGGCCTAAATCTATTTTTAAGTACAATTTTGATTTTTTTCAATAAAAAAGAGAGTTAATGATTGATGTGTTTTCTATTGTGTAAAGTTTTTAATCAAAGTTTACTCAAATTTGATATATAGAAAAAAAAGAAAAAAGGAAAAAAATGCTTTAATTCTACTAGTAATAAGTTAATGTAAATTCATTTTACCACAATAGTTCTAAGGGTAAATTACAAATACACATATTGAGATTTGTTTAAAATACGAATTGTTCCTGTGGTTTAAAAAATTACAAATACCTCACTGTTAGAATTTTTTATTTAACAGAATTAATCGAAAAAGTGAATTTTCTAATTGTTTATCTATACAATAATAAAATTATCTGAATTATTAATTGAAATAAAATTTTAACATTATTAAAAACTATTAATTAACTTGATAATTTATTAATAAAAAGACATATTTATTATGAAATTAGAAACCTTAAGAGATATAATATAATTTATAGAATCACAATAAATAATTTATAATTTAAATAAATTTCAAGAGTTGTGTTTATAATTTACCCTAATTCTAAAAATTCATTTTCCCAAAATAGGTTGGAGGAAGGTCAATTCAAAAATTCATATAGTAACTGAAAGATTGTTACAAGAACCTATGTGGTGTTTTGGGAAGTTAATAAAATGTTAGTTTTTTTTATTTTTTTAGTTTATTTTATCTGTTTGTAAATAAAAAATATGAAAGATGATATGATAAAAATGAATAAAAAATTAAAAACTAGTTTCTTCTTCTTTCTTCATTTTTTTATTTTTTAGTCTTTTTTTCAAAACATCCGTATATTACAATACATGTATGTACTATGAATGATGTCATATAAATAGGCAAAAAGGAAAGCAATGAAAAAAGCCATATTACAATACACGTTTGTACTAATGTTCTATAAATAGGCAAAATGGAAAGCAATGAAAAAAAGACAAAAAGGCTGCCAATGCAGAAGAGGGAAAACACGAGGTTTTTTCAAATTAAGTCAAATTAGCATCTTAATTCTCAAACTAAGTTTAGTTTGAACGAAATTTTCAAATTAGGTTAAAG